TCCCACATTATCTAGACAATCGGCTCAAAGATGGCGGTAAGGTTGTCAGCCTTACGCGCTGGCCGCGCTTTACTCCCCAGGAAAATTTCTGGTACTCATTTCTGTTAGAGGCTGAGTCAAGCCCACGGCCATAGTGCGGCTGGAAGGATTATGTCTGAGGAGAATATTTGGACCGAGGAGAGATGAAGTGACAGGAGGCTGGAGAAAACTGCATAATGAGGAGCTTCACGACTTGTACTCTTCTCCAAGTATAATTAGAATGATCAAGTCAAGGAGGATGAGATGGGCAGGGCATGTAGCAGGAATTAGGGAGACGAGGAATGCGTATAGGATATTGGTGGAAAAGCCAGAAGGAAAGAGACTACTGGGAAGACCAAGGCGTAGGATGGTGGACAATATTAAAATGGATCTTAGACAGATAGGATGGGATGTTATGGATAAGATTGATCTGGCTCAGGATCAGTGGAGGGCACTTGTGAACACGGTAATGAACCTTCGGGTTCCATAAAATGCTGGGATTTTCTTGAGTAGCTGCAGAATTGGCGGCTCCTCCAGAAGGGCTCAGCTCCATGAGTAAGTAAGTAAGAACAGAGTTTAGACTACAACAATTCATAATCTGCTTTGAACTCTTCTTTTCTGTTACTACCCACGACGGATCAGCGAGAACATTCTGTTTCTGAGAGAATTGTGATTAATGAATTTCTTCTCACGTGCAGTAACTTGTTACTAAAAGACTGCTTCGGTTTGGAAAACATCCATCATTTCTAGTCACAACGCTCACCGGCAGCCATCTTGCCCATCTTGCAGCTCTGCTGGTATCAGACTGGCATGTCGTTATGCCAAGTGATTCCCAACTTGTTACATCCTGTCAGAGGAGCCAGTACTTAAAATTTCTATACAAACAAGCATGGCGTTATTAACATTCAATCGGTAACTTCAGCTGCTGACATTTACTTTATTATCTATCAATCATCCAAACACAAACAGGCTACTCGACATTAGTCTGTCAGCACCTACTCACGCTGGTTTCTCGCTCGCGGATTTTCTTCTTTTTTCTTCTAACCTGAAGATGGAGGCGATACGTTCCTCCGAAACGTCTCTTAACACAATATCTACACGGCGCCACATCTCAGAAGACTGCTATCTTCATAGTCACCGCCTTGTAAACCTCAAATCTTACTTACATTAATTTGTTTAGCATTGCTAAAAATTCGTAAGTTGCTCTAATTAGGTGAAGATGTTACAGATTAGTCTGGTGAATAACGGAATAGAATTATTTGTTTTTTATTGTGATATTAAAATTAGGTTTGCCAGCCAGTATATCAGATTATTGTATACACCGTGAATTACACAGTAAAACGTAAAGCTATCCCTGTAAGAGACCATGGAGGCCCATGGGGTTGTGAGACGTCGAGGCTCCCACATTTTCTAAACAGTAGGCTCACAGATGGCGGTAAGGTTGTCGACCTTACGCGCCGGCCGCCCTTTATCCACCAGAAAGATTCCTGGTACTCATTTCTGTTAGAGGCTGAGTCCATTCTAGGGCATTAGTGCGACTGGAAGGTTTAGGTCAATTGNAGTATTTTAAGACTAAACAAAAGAAAAAGAGCAACATAAACGTATCTGCTTGTATGTCTCTTAGTTCACTTAACATCCCTCGTAAAATCTTCCTCCCCCTCTTCTCTGGTTTACACATTAGAAGGGAGGCTGGAGGAGATGAACCATGTTCACGCCTTCTGGCACGTCACCAGACTGCAGAAGGTTACTCTTTATTGTCCATTTAATTCTCGCTATATTGAATTACGTTCGCTACTGTTGAGAAATCTCATTGGCTGTGCGATCGTAAAACTGCGCAACCCTTAAACATCACACGTTCAATTTAAGTAAATAGATCGCTATTTTCGTCGTAGATTTTCTAATTCCTTCCACAACATTCTACATTTTAAATTAATCTAACACCCAGATCACTAATTTTAGCAAAACCTTTTTTTTTAATTCGCTTCGTGGGGGTTGGAATCCAACTGAGTCCACTCGGCTCGGCGACCACTGATTGGCCTATTGTAGCCTGCCCCGGGTGATTATGATGATGGAGAATTTGGTGGAAAAAATATTATCCCCAGCTCCACTTAGTCCACCACAAATCCCACTTGACCAGACCCGGGATCGAACGCGGGCCGCAGCGGTGGGAAGCCAGCGACTAACCGCTTGAGCTATGCCGCGGGCCTTAGCAAAAGCTTATTTACTTAATCTGTTCCTCTTATTCCTTTACGGTATCGAGTTTATTTTTCTATTTTGTTCATTTTACATACGGCACAAAACATTAATAAGACCTGTTGCTACATACGGGGCAGGAACATGGACCTTAACAGAACAGAAGAGAATGCACTGAGAATGTTCGAGAGAAAAATAATACACAAAATATACGGACCAGTGATGGAAAATATTATATATGGAGGATAAGATACAATGAAGAGATAAACACATCACTGAAATGAGATGATGTAGTAAGATTCATCAGGTTACAGAGAATAAGATGTTTGGGACATGTCGGAAGAATGGAAGATAATGCAAAGCCAAAGAAACGTTCTGTAGCCAGAAACTCAGACCACTAGACCACAGATGCGTTCGTCTGGCTTTATACGTTTATTAATGAAATAATTCAGTTTATTTCTACAGCTTAAATATAATTTATTTCTGAACTAGTAGGGAGGCAGAAAAGAATCACTGCATTGAAATTGGCATGTGGTTGCAATCAAAAAATTCTAAATAACATGAGTTGAAATTATACCATGTTTGTTAAGATATATCACATTAAATTGTAAACTGATAAAAATCATACACACATAGACGCCAGTGGTGCTGTTTAGTGCTTTAAATCCAGGACGAAACGTCTATTACCGCAGGTGCTGAAAAATAAAACTGGTCGTGAATGTCAAGGGGCTTGTCGGGAAGATGAACTGAATGGAGGTAAACAGCCAGTCGTAAAGTAACTTTGATTCTGACTCTTACTCTGACCCAGTCAGTTAAGAATCGGCAGGCGAGTTCCGGATTTATCTGTTGAAAGTCAGCCTGTGAAGAGAAGGCTAGGTGGTTGTTGTGAAATGGCTGCCAGCCTGAGAGTTGTTATTTAAGACAAGAGCTCTGTACGTGAGGCTGTGAAGACAGAACCTAAGCACGTGAAGCTCAAAAATTTCCATTGTTAGAAGCCGTTGCCAGGGAATGGATGATGAAAACACTGCAGGGTGGAAAAGAACTTAGCGAATGCTGTGGTGATTTGTAAAGGATGGAGATTAGCGATAGCTCTGTAGTTCCGAGTGGTGTGTATAAGTGATCAATAAATCCATTCAATTCAAAACCCCTCTATGGTGAGATACATAATCCCAATTTCGAATTGTAGACTCGAAATATCCTAAGAATTAAACTGCATATAATAATAATAATTCAGGTCCATGATANAAGATTTATCATCTTATACATTGTGTTTCAAACTCGCGTATTATATCAATCTTCCGCTATGGGAGTCGTTCTTCCTGTTTTTTGTGCATACTGTGTCTTGTGGTGTGTCCTTCTTTGGCTGCGTGCGTTGTAATGCTCACAGTGTAATGTAATGCCAAAACATGTAGTGAGGTGACAAGCGAGATTGTGTGCACTAGAAGACGGTCAATACATACACATCATGGACGTGAATCAGTGCAACAGGACGCTAAAATACAACATAATAATTCTCAATGAATATATAGCAAAATGCCGATTTGTAAGTTGGCTGCTCTGACAGACGTTAATTTCTCTCCCAGATACTGTGTTTAAATAGGCAAAAACTTTGTTAGCTTTTTCCGGTTCTTACACTTCATGTTTCTGTTTTCACAGCATTTGGCGCTACTTGTCGTCTGCAGGGAAACACTAAAATATAGGACTACTGAAACTAAATACGTGGCTGTGTAATGCAGATTACGAAGCATTAAGCACATATTCATTTTCAGTAACGGAAATATTTAATAACCTGTTTTTTTATATAAAAGTTCCATAAAACTACTGGTGAAAATTAAAATACATACACAGAACTAAATTAAAAACCAAATTCACCCACTGGATTAGGGGTACTCGACGGCATAGTTGGTTGAGGCACTATACTACAAGCCGGAAGGTCACGGGTTCGAGTTCCGATGAGGTGGATTTTTTTCTCAATTTACCTAATTCTTCCAGCCCAGTGGTCTCTTTCCTTCTGGCTTTTCCACCAATATCCTATACGCATTCCTCGTCTCCCCCATTCGTGTTACATGCCCTGCCCACCTCATCCTCCTTGACTTGATCATTCTAATTATACTTGGGGAAGAGTACAAGTTATGAAGCTCCTCATTATGCAGTTTTCTCCAGCCTTCTGTCACTTCATCTCTACACTTTTAAAATGTTTCTGTTAATTTTATAAATAGTTACATAGGCCTTTAACTGCCTGATCCAAATAATTTTATCTAAATACATTATTCAAAATTAAGCCATGTGTTACAATTAATGTTCTCACTCCTTTAATTGCGTGAATTTTCTCATTTTGCAAGTCCCTTGCAGAATGCTTTCTTAAATTACCGTCAGTCTTGTCTTTACAAGATACTTGTTTTCTCTACAAAAACACATTACTAACAAACAAACTCCATCGCCTGTAGTCCGCAAGCGAACTATACCGACCGAGCGACCGCAGTTTGTCGGGGAAATTAGTGCCAACTTTAGCAGATAGAGGGTGTCGCGTGGTCGGAGCAACGAATCCCCATAACCATTAATCTCGGTTTTCTAGACCGGAGCCGCTATTTCCTTGAAATAGCTCTTCATTTATCCTCACGAGGCTGAGTGGACCCTGTTCCAGACCCACTACTACTCAGAAAATCTGGTAGCGGCGGGAATCGACCACTAGCCCACAGAGGCGGTCACAAAAACACATTACGTCTGATACCTAAAACCTTGCAGTTATTTTGAAATGTTATGTTAGAAACATAGCATTTGTAGCTTACCTTAAAAAACATTATTGTTCCCAAAATGTTCCGTATGACTGGAAGCTGGAAACAGCTGAAATTCTAAGTGCATTAAGTGTAGCAGTCCTAGAAGCAATTATACTGGATTTCCTGTCACGCTAACTGTACGGATGAGATAAGAAGAAGCACAATATCTGTGAAGCTAGTTGTGTTCCTGTGACATTCCATAATCCAAAACAGTATTACGAACTCAATATTGGTCACTTAGCAAAAACAGGAAAGACAACATAGGATAATACGTAATCTCAGAATTCTTGACACTGCAGGTTAAGAACAGAGGATTCAGTTATGAAAATTATAAAACACGAAATGAGTTGTACTTTTGTTGCCTTAGCACATTAAACAAAAACACACACACGTCGTCATGTAGGCAGGAAAACAATACGTCACTTCCGGGTTGGTTGCTAATTGTTGCGTGTTTTATTCGGAGTGTCCGAGATGGTGGCACTGCGCATCTCAACTGAATGGATGATACGGAAAGATCGGTGTCTTGGGAATGCTGTTTTGTTAGAGTTGCCAACTTGACCGCTTTACTCGCTGAAACTGTAGCAAAGAAGCGTTTACATTCTAGCGCAAGGATTTCGGGACATTTTGATGGCTGCGAGAGGGCTGAGATCTGAAGAAGGTGGGAAGGTCGAGTTAGGTAATTTAAGGATGGAGCGAGACAGCGCACCGCACAACGCGTCTCGTTCACACTGAAGCGACTCGAACCTACACGTGTGGTGTCTCCCAGAGCAGCATTCAACTGGCAGAGAGAAATCCTACATTTCCCGGAGTTCTTCACCATACCCACAGCACTCAGCTTTGGATCATGCCGATTCAACTGAATTTCATTCACCCTGAGACCCCAATTTTAGAACATGTTTTAATAGTGTCATATTATTTACCTTTGCAACTGTAAATGGCTTTAACTTTTCCATTTTCAAACCAAAACTATATATTCGTTGTTCATAATATTTATACGTCTCACTGGTTTGATAATATTTGTTCTGTGTTAGAAATGGGGGTACGCGGTAACGTAGTTGTTTGAGGCACTACACTATAAGCCGGAAGGTCGCGGGTACAATTCCCAAAGAGGTCATTTGTTTTTTTTTTCAATTGACTTGATCTTTCAAGCCCCGCTATGGCCCTGGGGTCGACACAGCCTCTTAACAGAAATGAGTACCTGGAATCTTTCTCAGGGTAAAGAGCGGTTGTCCCGTAAGGCTGGCAACCTCACCGCCATCTGTGAGCCGGTTATCTAGATATGTGGGAGCCTCGACGTCTCACAACCTTATGGGCCTCTACGGCCTGTTATAGGGATAGTTTTACCTTTACCTTTACCTGTGTAACAAATGCAGACTGTCGAGTTGCTTGTAGTGCTATTTTCTTTACTACTTTTATTACTTTATCTCTTTTGGGAACACATTTTTCTCAACATGTTTTCGTCTAACATCCTCACTCTTGCCCTTAAATAAGAAACCAAGATTCACTCTGCTATAGGGCAACATGTAAAATTATCTTGCTACAGGTGTGTGTGTGTGTGTGGTTTTGGGTTTCCTGGTAAGACATTAGAAAATGACAGCAACTGAAATCAAAAGTAGTTAGAATTTTCCGAGTGTAATCGATTCATAATTTCGATTTATTACTTCCATCTCAGTGCTTGAAATTTACTTCATTTCCAGATGTTTTATTGTCTAATCTTTTATTCTGCTTTATTTAGTTCATTTACGAGAAATCAGATCCCATGGTTATGTTGCCACTTTTCCTCCTCCTCAGTCGCGTCATTTCATATCAAACTTGACACAAAAATGCTTGTTCCAGAGATAACATTTATCTTGAACAAACGATTATATCCTTCCCATATATTTCAAGTAGGTACCAGACTGTTTCCGGTTTTTAGTGACTTTTATCGGCTCTCCTCGCCAAGTGTTAGAATGTGAACGTTAAAAAGCCTCATAAGATAACCAATCACAATCAACAACACCAACAAAACACGCCTCTGCTTATCAAACTGTAAATATAGACAACTACTAACAATCATTTGTCTTCTGTTTTTCTCTGTGGCTCACAAGCCCTTCGGATGTTGGTTGTTTTTTGAGATCCTTAACCCTATACACAGTCGATAGTACTCCTTTTTTTATTGCTAGTAGGGTGGGACTAGGTCCCTTGTACTGCGCCCACTTCTGGCCTATTGTACCAGCCCCAGATGATAGGTGAGGGTGACTGTGGAGCAAGTGGTGGAATGAAGATTGACAGGGGAAACCGAAGTACTCGGAGAAAATCCTCCCCAGCTCCACTTTGTCCACAACAAATCCCTCTTGTCCAGACTCGGGATCGAACCCGGACCGCCGCGGTGGGAAGCCAGCGACTAACCGCTTGAGCTATGGCGCGGCCGGTAGGACTCCTTGTACGGGGATCAGTCCGTCATAAGGCCGCTACCTACACACAGAAAAACACAAACACAGAATAAACTTACACAGACATCCATGCCCCGAGTAGGATTAGAACCCACGATCCTAGTGTTCGAGTGGACGAAAACGGTTCATGCCTTAGGCCCCCCATACACACACAATTTGGCCTCCCGTTCGGCTTGCACAGTTCAAGGCTGAAAGGCAAAACTGTTGTGTGTGGTGCGGCCGGCCGGCCGGCCAATCGTTTGGACTGTAGGAAACCCGTCAGTCCGTCAGTTCTACCTGCAGGTCGATCGGCAGGCCAAACTGTGTGTGTATGGGGGGCCTTAGACAGCGAGGCCACTGTGATCGACTAATGACAATCATACGAGAGTATATTGAAAAGTCAGCGGATTGAATCCCGCGGAGTAATTCAAAGAGCTGAAGTCTTTATTGAGTTTAATACGTAAGACATTTCTGCAATTACGTCAAGAGTATGACCAATTAATGCTTCTTTTGCTGCTACCCCAGCATCATTACATTCTCCTTGTGATTAATTACATTAATGGAAGTGAAAGACTGTCTTCTGCCATTTTCTCCCATGATTTATTTTTCGGCCTTGAAAGTGGAGGTACCAAGTGGACTCGGTCTCACCCCACCTCAAGAAACTAAAAAAATAGAATTTAGATTAATTTTGGTAATATAGCACTGACATCAGCATCCTGTCATTTCATGCATTAATGCAGTATAATTCTCATCAGCAGCACCACCAAACTTCATGACTTTTAATACTAGGAAACTGGAACATTATATAAAATTCTTACGTAACGGTAAAGCTATCCCTGTGCCAGGCCGTGAAGGGCCATAGGATTGTGAGACGTTGAGGGTCCCACATTATCTAGACAATCGGCTCACAGATGGCGGTGAGGTTGTCAGCCTTACGCGCCGGCCGTTATTTACCCCCAGGAAGATTCCTGGTACTCATTTCTGTTAGAGGCTGAGTCAGTCTGAGGGCCATAGTGCGGCTGGAAGGATAAGTAAAATGAAAAATCCAGTGACCTCATTGAGAATCAAATCCGCCACAATATGCATCGTGTCACAGTTTCGAAATAAAAAACCGAGGTTTCTTACTCCATTTTGTGAAAGATGGCTGCCACTTGAGGTCATGACGTCTCAGATCCAACGGAAACTGATCTGTTCAAGCAACAGAAATGTAATCAATATTTAGTTCTCGTAGCGTCTGTTACTCCTCAGACATCAAGCTCTAAACGCAGAGTGGCCAAAATCAGCAAAGAAATGAAAAGAAATAAATAAGTGTTAGAGCTACGCTTTTCTGTAATTTACACGTTCATGCATAGCAGATGACAGAGTGTACAAGCTAATACAACAATATGAAGGAACGTTTATACTCTATCGATCAGTAACTATGGTAGTAAAACATTGGAAATTCGTTCGCCAGTTGTTTACAATTTGTAAGATTTGAGGCCTTAACAGCAGTGACTATGAAGAATGCCGTCTTCTGGGATGTGACGCGGTGTAGATCCTGTGAGAACCGACGTTTCGGAGGAAGGTATAGCCTCCATCTTCAGTAGAGGAAAATCCTAAAGTGAGGAACCAGGACGAGCAAGTGGCTGCAGACTGAGCTACTGGTCGAAAACACGTTCCTCGCTCTCTGATTTTTCTACCCAAGAGATGGAGGCCATATGTTCCTCTGAAACGTCGGTTGACACAAGATCTACACGGCGCCACATCCCATGAGACGGCATTCTTTATATACAATTTGTTTGAGTCACATGATCCTTTCTTATCCTTTCGATAATATGTTTCAACCGGTGGTTCAGTGTGCAGCCACGCAGCTGGTTTCTCGCTCACGGATTTTTCTATCTTGAATACGGAGGCGCTACCTTCCATCGAAACGTCCATATTCTTTTATCTTTTTCTTTGTGGTACGCTGTAGCGTAGTTGGTTGAGACATTATGCTACAAGCCGGAAGGTCACAAGTTCAAGTCCCAGTGAGGTCACCCGATTCTTTCAGTTGACCTAATCCTTCCAGCCGCACTATGGCCCTAGGGTCGACTCAGCCTCTAACAGAAATGAGTACAAGGAATCTTCCTCGGGGTAAAGGGCGGCCGGCGCATAAGGCTGAAAACCTCACCGCCATCTGTGAGCTGATTATCTAAACAAAATGCTGAAACTGCAACATCTCACAATCCTATGGGCCTCCATATTATTTTTTATTTACTTTTTTGCCTACCTGTTGATATATATCATCTTTATGCTCGTCCATGTCTTAGTCTATCTTATTCTTTATTATTATATTTATTCATCTGTTTGTTTATATTCGTCCCTTTTTCCCTTCCTTCGTTTCCTCAAAATTCCTTTTACTTCTTCCAAGAATATCTAACCTGCAATTTTTCCTCACAATTTTCAGACTTAAGTGAGAATGTCTTATAGTAGTCTGTTCTCTTCGGTGAAGAATTATTTCTTTATTTCCAATCCACTCTCCATTCCAATGAATAAATCGAATTAGACTTGTTTTCATTGGCAGTGACGTAGAGCTTCACATGCCATTTCAGTTGCAGCTCCAGACTCTTAAAGATTGACTTTAGTTTTCAGCTGAACTCATCGGAATACTTGCTGCTTACAGAAGTCATTACAAATTTAATTTTCAAATTTCAATATTCATCTCTGACTTTAACCAAGATAAGTGTTGTATGCGTGAATGATGAACCCACAAAACTCTAAAATCCAACCAATCCAGATCAGTAAGAGAAATTTAACGCCCACACCGTAATACACTGACTAAAATTCCGAAATTATTCAGATCAAATTTTTATTAGTAAAGGTAAAGTTGTCCCTGTGCTTAATTAATTAATCACTACGCCATGAAGGCGTATGGTGGAGTGGATATATAGACCCACGTTTTCTTGACCTCGGCACTAGTTGGAGGTGAGTGGCCAGCTTCACGCCCCGGCCACTTTACACCCGGGGAAATAGCAGTTAATACCCATTTAATATGAGGCTGGGTGGGTCCCAGAGCCGGTCTAGACAACATGGAGAAATGAAAATTCTTACCCCCACCCAGACTCGAACTCCAACTCCTTGGTCGCCCAACCCGTAGCTAGTCGCTATACCGACTGCGCTATCATGGATCCACATAATTTTATTAGTGTATTTTTAAATTCCA